CCAAGTTTAAATTTAAGATCAGTGGACTTCAACTCCCAGAATCCCCTTCCTTCCTCCCTCCCTCCCTCCCCCCCTCCCTTCCTTTCTTCCAGAATTCCCCACTTATCTCTTCATCTCTCATTTGTGGGGTTGTGTGTTTTGTTGCAGTGATGTGTTGTTGTAGTGATTGTGTCCCTCCAAGGTCCCTTCCAACTCTGTCAATCTATGATTCTGTCAGAGTCTTGCTGGCTGAAGTTGGGGGTTGGACTAGATGACCTCTGAGGTCCCTGCCAACCCTGTCCTTCTATGATTCGATGACCCACAAACACGTTCACGCTGTGTGTTGACAGTGGTGACGTCATGCCGACTTGTAAATTGTAAGTTGATTGCCGTCCATTTTTGTCTGTGTGATTTGAATTGCGTTGTGGGTTCGGAAGGGAGCTACGCAAGTGGTACACAACAGTGGCTTTGGGTTGCCGAAGAGTTGTCGCCTCAAATCGACGTGGCTCCCAAAATGGGATTGCAACGTTAAAAGTCCTTGACTTGCAATGCTTCATTTTGTGACCATTCCCTAAGTTCCAACGGCTGTGGAAAAAGGACTCATGGCTATTTTTTTCACACTTAATGACCATGGCAGCATTCCCACCATCAGGTGATTCCCAATTTGGACAATTGGCCACTTGACTCATATTTATGACGACCTAGATCCCCTCTTGTGACCTTCCGACAAAGCAAATTCAACAGGGAAGCCAGATTCGCTTAACGACCGGGATGCTAACTGCAGGGATTCCCTTAGCAAGTGCTGCGAGAATGGTAATCAAACAGGGCAAAACCCCACTGGAGAATCTGTCTCGCTTAGCAACAGAAATGTTGGGCTCCCTTTACGGTCATAAGTCGAGGACTCTCTTGTAACGGGGGATTGACATTTGACGACTGTGTTACAGAGAATGGCAGTGATTCGTTGAACAACTGCAAGAAAGGGTGTAAAGTGAGGCAAAGCTCGCTTAATGACTGGTTAGCAGCTGTAATTTTAGAGTCTGTTGGTTGTAAGTCGAGGACTTCCTGCGTTTTCTCGTGGCTCTGTGCCAGCATCTGGGCTTATCATGGCTATTAAACCAAGCAGATGATAAACTTAATTTTTAACAGAGATGCAGGCTGTCAATTTTGGGGCGCAGCCAAATTTGATCCTCTGGTGTGGATAAGTACAAAAAACCCCAGAATTTTGTGTCTTAAAAAATTAAAGTAGGAAAGAAAGAAAGAGAAGGAGGGAGGGAAGGAGGGAGGGAAGGAAGGAAGGAAGGAAGGAAGGAAGGAAGGAAGGAAGGAAGGGGGAGAGAGAGAAAAAAGAAAGAGAAAAAAAGACACAGATGATTAGAGAGAAACAATAAAGAAAAAGAAAATGTACTGACGTGTTGAGTCCCTTACTCTATATTCTTTCTGTGCATGACTGCATTCCCACTCACGCTAGTAATACTCTTGCTAAATTTGCAGATGATACAACAATGGTGTGTCTCATCTCCAAAGGATGGGGGGGGAGAGGGTGAGTCTGCCTGCCGAGATGAGGTGGACCAACGGTTGCTTTCGTGGTGTGGACACAAGAACTTGGGCCTCAACACCATTAAGACCAAGGAGCTTATAGTGGACTATATAGAAGGAACAGATCAGACATCCAGCCCTTGCTTCTCAATGGAGACCGAGTGGAGCAAGTGGCCAGTTTTAAGTTTCTGGGTGTTACCCTAAAAGAGGACATGACCTGGGGGTGCCCACATTGCAGCCCTGGTCAAAAGGGCCCAGCAGAGATTATACTACCTGAGGCTTTTCAGGAAACAACCACTGAATGGAAAACTGCTGGTGATCTTCTACAGCTGCACCAGAGAGAGTATCTTAATTTACTGCACCTGTGTCTGGTTTGCCAATTGCACAGAGGCAGATAGGACAGCCACTCCAGAGGGTGAAGGTCATTGCCCAGAGGATCATGGGTTGCCCTCTCCCCTTTTTGGAAGAGCTTTATGGCTCCCACTGCCTTAAGGAAGTTCAAAACATCCTCAAAGATCCATCTCATCCTGGGAAACCCCCCCCCCCCTTTTTTTTGAACTATGACCATCTGGCAGACGGTACAGAATAATAAAAACAAGGGCAAATAGGCTGAAAAACAGCGTCTATCCCAGGGCAGGAGCTCTTTTGAATTCTGCTGTATAGTGCAATATTAATGCAATATCAGGGGTTTCCAATTCAATGTGTGGAGTGTGAAGGATGTGTGTTTGTGTTTATTTTCATGGTCATGATGTGCACTGAAAATGGTGTTTGATTTCGTTGTACGAGGTGCAATGACAATAAAGTAAACTAAACTAAACTAAAAGGAAGAAGGAAAGAAAGAATAGAGATGGGGAGAGAGGAAATGCGGTAGGGAGACAGAGAAAGAAGGGAACGAGAAAAAAGAAAAGAAAGGAAGGCAGAAGGGGAGAACAAGAGGGAGAGAATGGGAGAGAGAAAGAAAGAGAGAGAGAGAGAGGAAGTAAAAAATGGAGGAAGAGAGAGAGAAAAAGAAATAGAGAAAGAGAAAGAAAAAAGTGAGGGTGGAGGAAAGAGCAAGCAAGAAAGAGAGAGGGAGGGGGAGAGAGACCAAAAGAAAGAAAGGAAGGGAGAAAGGGAGAGGGAGACAGAGAGAGGGAAAGTAAAGAAATGGAGAGAGAGAGAGAGAGAGAAAAGAGACAGATAGAAAGAAAAGGAAAGAGAAAAAAGGCAAAAGAAAGTGAGAGTGAGAGAAAAGAGAAAGGAAGAAAGGAAGAAAGAAAGAAACGAGTGGGAGGGAGAGAAAGAAAGAACAAGAAAGAGGGATAGAGAGAAACAAGAAAAAAGGAAAGGAAAGAAATAGAGGGGGGAGGGAATGAGGTAGGGAAAGAGAAAGAAAGAAAAGAGAGGAGAGAGGGAGAGAATGAGAAGAGAGAGAGAGAGAAAGAAAGAAATGGAGAGAGAGAGAAAGGAAAAGGAAGAGGGGGAGGAAATGAGGGAGGGAAAGAAAGGGGGGGAGGGAGTGGGAGAGAGAAAAAAGATGAAAGCTAGGGAGAGGAAGAAAGAGGGAGAGAAAGAAAAAAGGAAGGAGATAGGAAAGAAAAAAAGAAAAAGGGAGAGGGGAGGAATGAGGTAGGGAGAGAGAGAGACTAAAAGAAAGAGAAAGAAAGAAAAGGAGGGAGAGAAAAAGAAAGAAAGTGTGGAATAGAGGGAAACAAACAGAAAAAAAGAAAGGGTGGGAGAAAAGGAAGGAAGGAAGGAAAGAGAGAGGGAGGGAGAGAAGAACAGAGGGAATGGTTAAAAAAAAAACCTTTAACCTAAAACCAGAATAATTTTCTGAGACATTTTTCAGCCTTAAAGGATAATCTCAAATAAATCTCCAAAATGATAACATTCAACGGAAAGGCTTAATATTTTTTTTTCTATATAATTTTGATGCGATGGGTGTATGTGTGTGTGAAAGGATGAAAAATATATAAGAAAAATGTTTTCCCCCCAGGTACAATAGGTAGTCCTCGATTTATTCAGAGTGACAATCCCATGGAAAGAGAGACTTCTGATGAGGGGTGGGAATCTACCAGTTCAGGCCGGTTCGAGCAAAGCGTACACTCACCAAACTAGTCGTTACACCAGTTGAATCCCACCACTGTTATCTGGCCCCTTTTTTCATACTTATGACCATTGCAATATCCCCAGGGTCACGTGATCAGATTTCAGATGCTCAGCGACGGACTTGTATTTATGACGGTCGTAGCATCCGGGGGTGTCGCATGGCCCCCTTTACGACCTGACGAGCAGAGCCAATGGGGAGCCCGGATTCGCTTAACAACTGTCACTGACTCACTGAACAATGGCAGTGAGCCGTTTGAACAACGGTGGCAAGGAAGGTCGTAAAACTGGGCATTGAACCCACTTAACCAAGGTCTCACTTAGCAACAGAAATGCCTGGGTTCAATAGTGGTCATACCTCGAGGACTAGCTATAAAATTAATACATTTCTGCTTGTGAGACCCCCCCTTAGCGAGATAAATTTTGGTTTCAATTGTGGTCATAAGTTGAGGACTACTTATAAAAGAAATAATTTTTCTTATACGATCGCTTAGCACGTTAAATTTTGGTTCCAATTTTCATCGTAAATCGTGATTTAATGATTTAGTGATTTAAAGTTTGGCCTCGCTTGTGGTCACAAACTCGAGGACTACGTATAAAAGAAGTGAATTTTCTACTCGTAAGACCTCTGAGCATGATAAATTTTGTCCTCGATTTTGTTCGTAAGTTGAGGACTACCAATAAAAGAATTAAATTTTCTGCTCATAAGATTGCTTAAATTTTGGGGTTAATTTTGGTTGTAAATTGAGGATTATCCATAAAAGAATTAAATTTTATGCTTGCAAGATCACTTCATATGTTAAATTTTGGACTTGATTTTGGGTTGTAAGTCGAGGACTACCCACAAAAGTTAAATTTTCTGCTCGTAAGACCTTTTTGCAAGTGAAATATTGATCTCGATTGGCATCGTAAATCAACTACCTATAAAAGAATTAAATGTTCTGCTCAAAAGATCACTTAATGTTAAATTTTGGGCTCGATTGTGGTCATAAATCGAGGACTGCCTATAAAAGAATTAAATTTTCTGCTCATAAGATCGCTTCACACGTTAAATTTTGGGCTCAATTTTGGTCGTAAATTGAGGATGACTCAAAAAGTTAATTTCTCCGCTCGTAAGACCCTTTAGCAAGTGAAATTTTGACCTCGGTCGCAATCGTAAGTCGAGGATTACCCGGAAGTTTGGAAATGTGACCTTAAGCCATCCCCCTTTTTTGTCCCTTTCACCTCTTCGGTAAATGGAACACTACAACGCGTATTAACTTAATCGAAGTTGATCCCGAACGACGTTTTAAGTAGCTATGTCATTTGGATTATTCCCTTAATAACTCGTCGATTCTCGAATTGTTGAAAAGCCAACTCCACTTTTTTCAATTGTGGTTTTTCTTTGCGTTTCTTTTGCAGAGAGAAAAAGATTTGCCAACTTTGGGACGAGAGCGGAGAGGTTTATCGTCTTAAGGTAAGACTTACTATCTGTTGTAGAAATTTCGTCACGGAGTTTCGGGAAAGGCCAGAACTAGAGGTCGACTTTTGTCCTTTCATGCGGGGATTTAGTCTGCTGCCTTCCGGAGACACGCAACTTCCTTCACTTCCTCTTCCTCCCCTTCTTCCTCCTCCTCCCCTCCTTCCTTTCTCCTCCCCTTTCTCTTCCTCATCTTCCTCCTCCTTACCTTCCTCCTCCTTTTTCTCCTCTTCTCCGTCCTCCTCTTCTCCCTCTTCCTCCTTCTCCTTTTTCCCTTCCTTGACCCTTCCTAATTCTCTTCCTCCTCTCCCTCCTCCCCTTTCTCTTCCTCCTATTTGTCTTCCTCTTCTTCGTCTTCCTCCTCCTTTTCCTCTTCTTCTCCCTCCTCCACTCCCCTTCTCCCCTTCCTTATCCTCCCCCTTCTTTCTCCCTCCTTCCCTTCCTCCTCCCACTCCTTTTTTCTTTACTTCCTCCTCTCCTTCCTCCTCTTTCTTTACCCTCTCCTTCCTCTTCCTTTCCCTCCTTCTACATCCTTCTCCTTTTTCTCTCCTCCCCCCCTCCTTTTCTTCCTCTTTGTATACCCTATTTTTTTTTTTGTAGCACCAACGACATTTCCTAGTTTGGTCACGAAACCTGCAAGAAAAGCACCAAGTCCAGAGCACCAAGGACCACACTGTCCTCCTCCTCCTCTTCCTCCTCTTCCCTTTTAGCACTGATGATGTTCCCTAGTTGGGTCATGAAATGTCTCCAAGAAAACCACCAAGCTCAGAGAGCACCAATTCAACCCCAAACTACAAAAATTCTCCTCTATTAGTATTTAGCTGTTTTTAGTTTTATCTTTTCATCCTCAGGAATTAAGGAAGGGAGCTGGGAGGTCATCTGGTCCAACTCCCCACTCAAGTGGGAGACCCTGACAGAAATACAGAGTTGGAAGGGACCCTAGAGTTTTTTTAGTCCATTTCAAATTTATTCCGCCCGATTGGAGTTAAAAACCCTCTCCTTTTTCATACAAAAAAAAAAAAGATTAAGCCTTTTTGAAAGCCAAAAATTAAACCTTAAATGTTCACATAGGGAGATCCTTCATCCCTTCCCTCTACAGTTTTGGATTAAACCTCAGCCTTCTGCCAAGTAAATGTACTTGATGGAGGAACGCGTCATTTCGGTTACGTCCTGGCTTAAAGCTTGCCCAGGGCAACCGATGTGAAAAGGAGAATTAGTGGAATTGATAATTTCTGAATTTCTGGATGTGACTTTGTTTGGGACTAGCTGGATACCCGTGCTTCGCTACGAAACTCTGTGGTCGGGCTTAGTTTTTGGGGAGGAAAATAAGGGGGAAAAAATTCTGTCTCTGCCTACCAGCATCCATCCGTATTCATCTGGCTAGCGTCCTGTCAATGTGTGAGAGAGTGGAGGGCTGTTTGGAAACTGAAATAGTATTTGCTGTGTGAGCAAGAAGGAGACAGCAAGGAGCCTGGGCGTGGCTTAGCTCAACTGTTCTGTACTAAAGCTGCTTGCTGCTCTGAAACTGAAACTCCTCCCCTCTGCTTGTGTTTTGCATTTGGGACAGATTTCTTTTCAGGTGGGGAGGGGGAGTAGAACTCCTTAGCATCAGAGCGTGTTAATTGCTGTAGAAGAAATACTAATGAAATACTAATGATCCGATGATCATTTCGAAAAACCCTTTCTTAGTGAGCTCCTAGAAGCCAAGAGGAACATCCGGGCCAAATTTCAAGTTTGTAGGCTTTACAGTTCTGGAGATTTTGTGATGATGCATGAGGGGTATTTTGCTTTTATATATAGAGAGATAGAAAATTCCCATCAAGGCGTGATGTTGTGATGTTGTGATGTTGAGGTTGCGGTCTTTTTCTTGTCTCATAAGGGAAAAAACTCCCACGGAAATTTGGGGAAAATTAGCTCATTTTTGGAGGCCAAAGGGAGCTGATATTATTGGGACGTTGCCGTATAATATGCAGGAATGTTCCTTTTAAGGAGTGCTGGGAGGAAGAAACCGGGGAAAAAAAGGGAAATGCCGAAGGGAAAATTGCCGTCTTCTCCAACCTGATGTTTTCCAGATGTGTGTCGCGAATACAGCAATGCATATCTGGAAGCTCTGGAGAGCGGCCATCTTGGCCCAGGCTGTTGTGGGACTCTTCCACACCCTTCATCTCTCCCTCTGCCCATTGGGAATTCGGTATGGGGGAGTCCTTGTCTTAACGACCGCAATTGAGGGACGGATTTCCGTGACTTTAGCACGCAGGTCCCTAGATTTGACAGTTTTAAGGATTGTGGACTTCAACTCCCAGAATTCTTCAGCTAGCCAAGATGGCCTGAGGGATTCTGGGAGTTGGTTGTAAATTGAAGGTTTGTAGACTTCAACTCCCAAAATGCCTCAGCTGGACAAGATGGCTGTGGAATTGTGGGAGCTGATCAAAAGTGTGAGGACCGGCTGTGAGTGCGAGGACCAGTCATAAGTTCAAGGAAGTGTCTGCAATGGGTGTGAGTGTAAGAAGCAGTCATAAGTGTGAGGACTTGTCATAAGTGTGAGGACCTGTCATAAGTGTGGGCCCTTATCCCAAATTTTGGGTTCCATTGTTGTCATGAGTTGAGGACTCACTTGGTGCACAGAGAGTCCTCGACTTACAACAGTTCATTTAGTGACCAAAGTTGCCACGGGATTGAAAGCAAAGGGACTCGCGACCGTTTTTTCCCCTTAACGACCATCGCGGCATCTCGACAGTCACAGCGATCCAAATTCACTCTGTCTGGCTGACAACTCGCCTTTACGATGGTGGCCGCCTTCCAGCATTCCTGCCATCCCCTTTTTGTGACGTTCATGGGGGGGAAAACAGATTCACTTAGCGACAACATGATTCCCTGAAGAAGTGCATGGCTTCACTTAACAACTGGGGGGGGGGCAAGAAAGTTCATCCAATGGGCCCGAATTCCCTGAAAAGTCTCACTTAACAACGGGAATTTGTGATCGTAAGTCGAGGACTACTGATAGGTAAAAAAATTTCCATACTCGGTGTAGTTTTTTACGCCAATGTGGATTTGTTTCCTGATTCTTTATTCAATATTTAAATTTTAAGATCCAAATTTAAATATGCCACAGCTGTTGTGTGTTTATTCAAGCAGAAACGAGGATTAAAAGCTCATTTTTCCCCCTCTGGGTAATTTGATACTATCATTATTTCTTTTTTTAATAATAGCCTGTCATCCAGCTTATAAAAGTCATGGCATTTTTAATTGCTAGGATGATATTCGACATTATTTCCGCTAACTGCAGGGAGTGATTTCCCTGGAAAACGATAATTAGAATTAACAGTTTTTCTCATCGGGCTGAAATAACGCAGACCGTCCTCGACTTAACGACCATTGATTCTGTACGGGTCTCCTGCTGGAGCAGGGGGTTGGGCTAGAAGACCTCCAAGGTCCCTTCCAACTCTTTCATTCTGTAATTCTGTAAGGGCCTTCTGCTTGAGCCAGGGGTTGGACTAGATGACCTCCAAGGCCCCTTCCCACCACATCAACCTATGCTGTAGAGAAGCTTTGGAGGAGAAAACCCTGTTTTTCAAGCTTTGGCTAATAATTTGAAATCAATAACTCCAATTTCTTTTTTCCCGGAGAAGGAACAATGGAGGTTGCAAACACACTGCGGTTTAAATGCAGCTCCCCACGGGCTGAATTGCAGCTGTTGAAAAATGAAGAAAACAAAAAAACACAGATTTTTCTTTTTAAAACAACAATAATAATCAGATTGGGCTGATGGGAAAGTTTTCCCCGCCTGTATTTTGTACAGACGATCTTTGCTAATTTCCTCTTTTTTTGTTTCTTCTTCTTTTTCTTCTTCTTTTTGGTCAGTTAACCTTGGTTTGAAATGCTTAAAAAGTGGAATCTATTATCAGGATATATCTATGTATGTATCTACCTATTGGTATGTATCAATTTATCTATCTCTCTTTCTGTCTCTCTCTATGTCTCTCTCTCTTGTCTCTAATCTACCTATCTTCTATTTAGTATTTGTGTATATATCAATCATCTATCCATCCATATCTATTGATCTGTCTGTCTGTCTGTCTACCTATCTACCTGCCTGCCTACCTATCTATACATCTATCTATCTAATCTATCAATCTTCTATTTTGTATTTGTATCAATCATCTATCCATCCATCCATCCATCCATCCATGCATATCTGTCTGTCTGTCTATCTATATATCTATCTGTTCATCTATATTCTATTTAGTATTTGTCCATCAATCATCTATTCAGAAATTTAGACTAGTTTGGAGCTTGGAGTATGATTTTGACCTTTGATGCTTGTATGCGGCATTCTTGGCTCTCTTAGCTGTGAGGATCTGTGGAGTAGATGGTCTTTGGCTTTTCCAAGCTGCATCAGCATTGGCAAATTACTAGCATATTCCTTTGGGAGTTCAGAAGACCTTTGGGGCTTCATCTCCTTGGTTCATTCTCCTTTCGTGCCGGTTGTTTATGCCTGCTTCTCGCCTTCTTTCTCCGGCATCTTCTCCTGCGGGGCTCTCGGCAAACGTACATCTTGAGGTCTTTCCTCTGACAGAATATGTGCGGTTCGGGGTTGAACTGTGGGGTCCTTGGTGCTCTCTGAGCTGGATGGATTTCTTACGGACGTTTTGTGACCGACCTAGAGAACGTCATCAATGCTAGAAGAGAGGAGGAGGGGGAGGAGGAGGAGGACTGTGGGGTCCTTGGTGCTCTCTGAGCTGGGTGGTTTTCTTGTGGACATTTCTTGACTGAACTAGGGAACGTTATCAGTGCTAGGAGGAGAGAGGAGGAGGAAGAGGAGGAAGGCATCTCTGGGTATCCTTGGTGCTCTCAGATGGTTTTCTTGTGGACGTTTCTTGAGCGAAGTAGGGAACATCATCAGTGCTAGAAAGGAGGAGGAGGAAAAGAACTTGTGGGGTCCTTGGTGCTCTCTGAGCTGGGTGGTTTTCTTGCAGACATTTCATGACCCAGCTAGGGAACATCATCAGTGCTAGAAGAAAGGGTGTGTGGGGAGGAGGAGGAAGAGCAGTTTGGGGTCCTTGGTGCTCTCTGAGCTGGGTGGTTTTGTTGCAGACATTTCATGACCCAGCTAGGGAACTTCATCAGTGCTAGAAGAAAGGGTGTGTGTGTAAAGGAGGATGAAGAGGTCTTTCTTTGATGCTGTCTGAGCTGGGTGGTTTTCTTGCAGACATTTCATGACCCATATTTGCGAGGATAGATAATTCACTTGTTTTGCTGCCTTTGTAACTTTGGTCACTAAAGGAATGGTTGTAAGTCAAGGACTACCTTTATGGCCCTTCAAAACAAAATTTGGAGATCCCTGGAGGGGGAAGGTGTGACAAGGGGTCAGAATTAAAACAGGCATCAATCTAGAATCCTTACGTGTTGGCAGAGTTGGCTTCATGCAGGTCAATGCCAGACACGCTGCTCCTAATAAACCTTTGGGTTTCTTTTGAAGCTTGGCTTGAGGTTCATGACTGAAGTAGGGTGATCACCCGAATCCTGACAGCGTAGTCGCCAGCGAACTAGGTCCAACTCTCCTTGTATCCTAGGTAGCTCTATCTAATCCTAATAAGGGCCCACCCTTAGTTGAGAAGATTCCTGTGCAAAGCCTTTTAATTGAAAGATTCATGTTCATATTTTAGCAATAAACCAGTTTAGTTGAAAGATTCCAATAGAGACTTTCAGCAATACATCAGTTTAATTGGAAGATGCCTGTTCACCAGCTTTTAGCAATAAATCAGTTTAATTGAACCTTTATATGTGCACCTAGTTATGCGCTCCCAACCCCCTACTCGTCTTTCTCCCTGGAGTTTGTTTCTTTGATTCTTAATCGGCTGCAAATTTTAAATACTGATTTGAGATGTTAATCAAATTGTTGATCTTCTCGTTCTTCCTTTCCTCCTCTTCCTCCCCCCCCCCCCCCCCCCCCCCCGTTCGATTGGGAAGTGGATTGCGGCATGGCTGACATGGAGCAGAACCTCAGCCTGGCTGATGCGCTGACCGAGCCCACTCCCCAAATCGAGGAGGAAGTGAAACGCGATTTCATGGCCAGCCTGGAAGCCGAGAAGTTCGACGACATGATCGGGGAAAAAGTCGGCAAGACGGATTACGTTCCTCTGCTTGACGACGACGAGCCGAAAGCCGGGAACCAGGAGGCGAAAGCCAAACCGCAAGCTGAGAACGTGGCTCAGGAGCGTGAGTGTCCAGACATGGGCAGAAGTCGGATCGGGCATCGGGCGGGATGAGCCGGGGCGGGGGGGGAACAGGATCAAATGAACAAGAAGCTGGATTATGACATACAACCCCGATTTGACGTGCCAATGTTTCCATGGCTAAGCCAGCTTTGGTCCATTTTATGTCAGCGTTGTTAAGTGAATCAGGTGGTCATTAAGCAAATCTGGCTTTGTTTGTCGGAAGGTTGTGAAAGGGGATTGTGTGACACAATCCCTCAGGCCGATCCAACCCTCATAAATAGAGGCGAACTGCCTGAATTTGGATCATGTGACCATGGAGATACAGTGACCGGTCGTAAGTCATATTTTTCTTGCTTCCTCTGAATCGTTCTTCTCCAGACAGTCGCAGTCTATCTGCTTTGCCAGTCCCTTTTGCACGGAGGCATCCCGCCATTCGGCATATTGCCAGCTTCGGCGATCTCGTGGCTTTGAAATCCTTTTGAAATCTTATAGTGTTTCCCCCAAAAGATGCATTAGGGCTTAGTTTTTGGTTAGGTCTTATTTTGGGGGAAATATGGTACTAAGTGCATCCATCTGGCTGGTGATCTTAACTAGGGCTTATTTTTGGGTGGGGCTGATATTACAAGCATCCTAAAAGAAATCATGCTAGGGTTTTATTTTTCCAGTTGGGTCTTATTTTTGGGGACATACAGTAGAATTTTTTTACCCCATTCCATTTTTTTTTAATGCATCCCTTTCTTCCTCCAGGTGTTCTCCCTTCAGGAGGAAAAAAAAAAGAGAGAGAATGAAATTAAATATATTTCCACAGGTGCCATTATCCGACTAGCTCTGTTTTTCCCATCTGGGCTTTGCTTTTTTAATAAGCTCTTAATTGTGCTGTAATTTAGCCACAAAACGGTTGAGTGGATCAACTGTGAACTTCGACCACTCTCGGAATATTGGATAATTTTTTGACCATATTTTGCATCGTTTCTCCCAAGGGAACGTAGCTTTTTATTTGATTTTTTTTTCTTTTTATACCATGTTTCCCAAAAATAAGATCCTGTCATGTGTGCGTGTGTGTGTGTGTGTGTTATTTTGGGGGAGGTAGGGCTTATATTGGGTGCATGTGTAAAAATCAAGCTAGGACTTACTTTCAAGGTAGGTCGTATTTTGAGGGAAATAGTAATATCGCAATGTCCAATGTCAAAATTCAAAAAGGAGAGAACCGTTTTAAAAAATAGGCACTGAACCAATTGATAATTCCCCACCCCCCTTTCATAGACGTAACAACGATACAGATTGTCCTCGAAGGACGACTGCAACGGCCGCGAAAATTCGATGGTTAAGTGAGTTGGGAGCACTTCTGCGACCTTTCTCACCACCGTTGTTAAGTGACTGGCCGGAGTGGCCAAGTTAGGAGCAGGGTTGTTAAGTGAATCTGGCTTCACACGTGACCCCTGAGACCGTCATACCAAGGAGCACCAAGGAGCCCATGGTTGTCCTCCTTCTCTACTCCAAAAACCTCACTCCTTCATAGCACTGCTGATGTTACCTAGTTGGGTCTCAAAACGTCTGGGAGAAAATCCTTTTCTTCCTCCTCCCTCCCTCCCTCCCTCCCTCCCTCCCTCCCTCCCTTCCTTCCTTTCTTCTAGCACTGATAATGTTCCCTGAAACATCTGCAAGAAAACCACCCAGCTCAGACAGTACCAATGACCCCCCCAGTCCTCCTTCCTTCCTTCCTTCCTTCCTTCCTTCCTTCCTTCCCTTCGCTCCCCTCCCCTCCCCTTCCCTTCCCCCCTTCCCTTCCCTTCCAGAACTGATATTGTTCCCTAGTTGGGTCATGAAACATCTGCAAGAAAACCACCCAAGGTAGCGACTCAGAGAGCACCAAGGATTCCCCAGTCCTTTCCCCCTTCCTCCTTTTCCTCCTCCTCTTCCTCCTGTCCACAAATACATCTCCCATATAGCACTGATGATGTTACCTAGTTAGGTCATGAGATGTCTGCAAGAAAACCACCCAGCTCAGAGAGCACCGAAGAGGAGTTCAAAGGGGTTGGACGAGATGACCTCCAGGTCACTCCTAGCTCTGTTATTCTATGATTCTGTCAGGGTCTGCTGCTCAAGTAGGGGAAGGGACCTTTGAGGTCATCTAGTCCAACCCACGCTCAAACAGGAGACCATTTTCGAATCGTTGCATAATGTAAGGTATCTTGGAGGTCATCTAGTCCCTGTTCAAGCAGGAGACCACAAACAAGAAGTCCCCAACTTACAACTAGAAGACCTCCAAGGCCCCTCCCAACTCAGTTATTCTGTAAAAGTCTCCTGTTTCAGCAGGGTTGGACTGAATGACCTCCAAAGTCCCCTCCAACTCTGTCACTCTATGAATCTGTCAGGGTCTCCTGCTCGAACGGGGGGGGGGGGGTTGGACTAGATGACCTCCAGGTCACTTGTTGCTCTGTTATTCTGTGATTCCGTAAGGATCTCCTTCTGGAGCACAGGGTTGGACTAGAAGACCTCCAAGGTCCCTCCCCTCAAATGTTGGATTTTGATTTTCTTTCTCTCTCTCTCTCTCTCTCTCACACACACACACAGAAACACACACCGAGACACACACACATCCTCACAAAGAGGATTTGAACCAAGTTCGGCCAGCTGCCTTCCCATCGCGCAATGCACAGCATCCTGGTTTGATTGATTTTTGCCCTAATCCGCTTAGTCCGTCCGTTACGTAATCCGGAGGGATTTGTGTATGTGTGTTAAATAGGCCGAACTTTGCACGGCCGACTTCTTGGGGCGAATGGATGATTAAGAGTCTTGTCATTTGGCAGGCAACGCCAAGGACTTCCAAATGCTGGGGTTGGAAGAGGGACGTGGTGGTGGTTTGATTGTGGTGGGCCTGAGGAACGATACAATGGGAAGCAAAGATCCCAGTTGCCAGCCAATTGGTTTCAATGGAGGAGCCCTGATGCCGTTCCCTAGTTGGGTCACGAGACGTCTGCAAGGAAAGCACCCAGCTCAGAGAACACCAAAAATGACCACCCCAAGTCTTCCTCCTCCTCTTCTCTTTTTCCCTCCCTCCTTCCCTCTCCTCCTCCTCCTCTTCTTTGTCCTCCCTCCCTCTTCTTCTCTTTGTCTTCCTCCTCCCTCCCTCCCTCCGTCCGTCCCTCTCCTCCTTTCCTCCCCTCCTCTTCTCTTTCACCTCTTCCTCCTCCTCTTCCTCCTTCTCTTTG